ACCACCACCACCATCACTGTTTGATTAACAGTCCACTCAGCTGACCTCAAGAAGACACAAGTGGTAAACGCCAAATAATAAAATAATAATAATAATAAACGGTTTATTAGTAGAGTTGTGGGTGGCTGAAAATATACAAACTACACGAGGGGTTAGGTTAGTGTGAGAGTGCGGATTTATGTTAGTGTGTGGAGGTGAGGATTTATGTTAGTGTGTGAGAGTGAGGGGTTAGATTAGTGTGTGAGAGGAGGAGTTACGTTATGTGTGAGAAGGAGGAGTTATGATTAGTATGTGAGAGTGAGGAGTTATGATTAGTATGTGAGAGTGAGGAGTTATGTTAGTGTGTGAGAGTGAGGGGTTAGGTTAGTGTGTGAGAGGGAGGAGTTATGTTAGTGTGTGAGAAGGAGGAGTTATGATTAGTATGTGAGAGTGAGGAGTTATGTTAGTGTGTGAGAGTGAGGGGTTATGTTAGTGTGTGAGAGTGAGGGGTTGTTAGTATGTGAGAGTGAGGAGTTATGTTAGTGTGAGAGTAGTTATGTTAGTGTGTGAGAGTGAGAGTTATGTTATGTGTGAGAAGTGAGGGGTTATGTTAGTGTGTGAGAGTGAGGGGTTAGGGTTAGTGTGTGAGAGGAGGAGGTTATGTTCGTGTGTGAGAGTGGGAGGGGTTAAGGTTAGTGTGTGAGAGTGAGGGGGTTGGTGTTAGTGTGTGTGAGAGTGGAGGGGTTATGGTTAGTGTGTGGGGTGGGGGAGAGTGTTGTGTGTGGAGGGGAGGGGTTAGGTTTGTGTGAGAGGAGGGAAGTTTGTTTGTGTGTGAGAGTGGAGGAAGTTATGTTCGTGTGTGAGAGTGAGGAATTATGTAAATATTATTTGTATGTGTAGCTTTATGTTACATATGAGAGATATTGGTATGGCACTGTATGTATACCTGCGCTGTATGTATATTGCAGTCTTACCTAAGACGCTGAGGAGGGAGGACAAGGTGGCCCATTGACTGTACTGGCTGGGGTCCCACTTGAGGGCGCGCTGAACGAACATGTGGTTGACGTTGCCCTCACCTGTAATGTGATGAGATGAACAACAGTGAGCACCGTAGTTGTTACTAGAAATGGTCGCCGGTACAGCTGTTTCACCAATGATTTTATCCAGTTTTGGGCTATTAGTAATGATCAAATTTTGGTGAAGACGGTCAAGTAGTTTTTGTATTTGTTTTTAGTGAAATAATGTTATTTTAACACAGATGAAATATAAACTGTTGAATATTCGGGATTTATCAGACAATCATCCCTAAAACACACACACACACACACACACACATCACTATCATCCTTGACCACCGAAGACGTACCCGCGCTTCTCTCGAAGCAGCCAGGTCAACTGTTGTTGCCCATACCAACTCTCCCCTGAAACCTCCTCCCCACCGGAATATCAACAAGTTTCGCCAGAAGTTACATTATTTAGGAAAAGGAACGGAACCAGTGTTAAACAGAGGAACAGGTGGTGAATCAGTGCTTAAGTCAGTGAGAATAACTCAACAGTAACAGTCGTACCTGTTAACCTTCACAGTGAGGTCCCAGGTACCAGTGATATCGGCCGTGAGACTCAACAACAACCAGCGATGTTGGTCCGTCTACGATAGGAAGGCCTAAGACCAAATTCACTCATATAACACCATCTGTGAGGAATTACTACACCACGTGATGCCCCTCATAACACCATCTGTGAGGGAGTTACTACACCACGTGAGGCCCCTCATACCATTTCTGTGAGGTAATTACTACAATCACGTGAGGTCCCTCATAACACCATCTGTGAGGTAATACACCACGTGAGGTCCTCATAACACCATCTGTGAGGGAATTACTACACCACGTGAGGGCCCCTCATAACACCATCTGCGAGGGAATTATTACACACGCCAGGTCTCTATAACACCATCTGGAGGGAACTATTACACCACGTGAGTTCCTCCAACACCATCTGGGAGGGAGTTAATTACACTACGAGTTTGTTGTTCAACACCTCATTAATCTTGTATGTTCACTGTATGTTCCTTACCTTTCTATAATGAAGGTTTTTGTTAAACCACCAATGTAGTGTAATAAGTCATTTATGTCCAAGTATATTTCAGATTTGCTGTATAATTTTTCAATAAACCGTTAATTATTATTATTATTACATACACACTAGGTAAATTCTGTCTGTTCTCACCCCAGACAGGGAGTGAGTCACACAACATGGCCAGGATGAGAAACAGGATGTGGGTGGTGGCGCGGTGTGGGCGTGGCTGTACCATCACCTGGACTGCATAACTGGCTTACGTCACACGCCGCCACACACACCTGCCCTGCATCACACACTGTCGACTCCTGCTGGAAGAGACAGTAGGATCAGGGATCACATGGTTATATGGAGTTATATTTTTGACGTCTTTGTGACAGTAGACAGAGCACCTGTGAAATACGTCGTCTGGGTGAACGAGTAGTGACGGCTACTGTGATGATGCACCGGACGACAAGACCATGGCGAAGATGAAAGCCGCTACAGAGCTGCCAGCACCAACAGCGGACCTACCAGCGACCGACAGGCCGCAGGTAGTAAGACGCGTCCAAGAACCCCATGCGCAGTGGCCTACCTGAATATCAGTTGTTTATTTATTTACCCAGGTTATAAAGCTTGTTCACTCAGTAATTGCAATGTTTATCCAGGCTAATAAAGCTTCTTTCACTCCATTTATCATGCATTTAAAAGGTATAATTTCACTTGTTATCTTCGATGTCAACTGTTCAGAAATCTTCTGATCTTGTCGAACAGTTGCACGGCACGCTTCTGTACATACATCTTCTAATCGTTATATATTCTTCACTGTATCCTTAACTTGACACTCTCTTCGTCAGCCATACTTTATCTCCCAGATACAGTAATACGTTGATCATCCAGACACAATATAAACAGAGGTAAGGGACGATCAGTGAATCGGCTGGTTAATTCCAAGTTAACCAGGTTGGTACACATACTGTATATTAAATTGGGCTTTAGTAACGAAACCCACCTGAATTTTCTTGTTTTATTAAAAAGTATTATGTATATAATTCCTGAGTGTAGATCAACCGTAAGTTCCACTATTTATGAGTGTGGTGAGAAAGGGACAGTGTCTATGTAAATAGACGTGAATCAACGTCCGTTCGATATTAGTCTGTGAGTGAGATTGACTATATGCCGTGGGCGAGACTACATAGTTATGATGATATATGGGCTTCACCCTCTTGGGGAAGCTACCGTTCACGTGATCATCGTCCTCCTCATAGCTAGTGGAAACTGACAGGGGATGAATTTGAATATAAATCAAATGTAAAAAACTCATTTATATAATACTTTCTGTTGATGAGACAGGGGCCATTACATCAGATTTATGGATCTGGAACCTAACCCAACTTAGAACTAAAATTGATGTCACTTAACCTTCTCATTCTAACCCAATGTCACCTAACCTAACTTAATCTAACCTAACGTTTCCTAACTTACCCCTAAACTAACTTAAACTAACCTACCATTGACATTATCTAACAAAACTATGCCATTAGCATTAACATCTCTTATCCTGTACCGGGTCAGTTTACTCTTGGGCAAGAAGTAGACACCAACGTGATTTGGAGTTGTCAGCGAGGTGAGCGAAGCAGAGCATGAGGAGGCCATGTGTCCCGCCGCTGAGTGAATACGGCACTGATGACACAAGTGTCACCTCCAGAGGCCAAGAGGGCACGAGGGCGTTGACCAGATATGCTGTAGACTCCCCCAGCAAACAGGTCAAGGCGAACATGAGAGGTACCCGGCGCCCCCAGCGATCGCTCCACGACCCCAGCACCACCACGCACCACCTGCGGGTAGTGAGGACTTGTGGCTCACCGTGTCCACCACCAGGCACCGACATGTACACGAAAACACATAAATGGTGATACTTATGGAGAGAGTACAGTGATGTAGTGTGTAAAAGTAAAGTTTGATGAATGGACTGGGTTCAGAGGCGTGTTGGGATGGTGAGAGGGGCAAAATTGCAAAGTTAGGTTAGGATAAGTTAGGTAGTTTTATAAGTTGAAGTTTATTCCTGATGTGCTATCATGTGCTTTAGCCACAGTAAGAAGCTATACAGAGAGTTGCGCCCCCCCCCCCTCCGTGCCTCCCACTGGGTCCACCTCCTGCTGATAAACGTATACTGTACAGTACTAGCATGGGAATACTATAACTTCTATAATACCACTACCTGAAAATAATTGGGCTCGTTTTCTTTGGCCTCAACTATCTAATCTACAGCCGCACCTTGACAAACTTATCTGGTCTTACCACCACAACCACACATTAGACGTCACATACGTTTTCATGTGCACTTTCCATCTTCATAAACATGATGTACAGTAAAAGGATGGTGCACATGATAACGAAACCTGCGACGATAATGAGCTCACGTAACATTGGGACTATATAACAGTATACACTAGAGCATGGCAGTGATACATACAGTATACATGATAGTGATACGCTGATCGTATTTCACGTAAATTTTATATCAGAAATATAAAAAAACACCTATTAAGATGTTACGTTACAAAAACAATGACAGGACAGCACCCACCTGGATGGCCGTCTCAAAGATGGAGCGATACATGAGGAAATTGGAGACCAGGTCCTGCACCGCCACCTGAGACGTGTCGTAATTGGTCAAGTTCCCACACACGACCTCACTCAGCCCGTAGTTGACCTGTATACCAGACCATTGTTAGTTAATTATTGGACTAACATTTGTTAACTGTATACTAGGCTCATCTTAGTTAACTGGATCCAACCCAAGTCAGTTCAGGTAAAGTTAGGTTAGATCAGGTTAGGGTCTATGAAGACTGGGGACCATTTGACCAGTCACCTTCCACCACCTGGCTCATCGGCGTAGTGCAACTCAACTGTTCCGACGCTAAATATACCGAGCCCACATATATATTAATAGCAATAATAATCCTCAATCCACATACTCTTGAGACACGTACTTGAGATGCTTTACAAACATCGTGGTAGGGATGAAGTGACTTACCCACATGCTTTTTCCTTCATCAGTTCCTGTGAAGCCACATATGTCACCTGCGAACACAGGTTATGGACGAACAGCACAGGCTCCACCGACACGTTCCTTGCCCATAAGCCCGCACGCCCATACCAGCCCAAGTCTGGTTCAGGACCTGTGTTCCAACCCAGGACCTGTGTCTAACCCAGGACCTGTGTTTAAATCAGGACCTGTGTATAACCCAGGACCTGTGTCTAACCCAGGACCTGTGTCTAACTCCAGGTCTGTGTCTGTGAACTCGGGCCTAGTCTAGAGCAGATGGCAGACGAAGGAGATGTATGTAACCCTCCATCAAGTGACTCAACAACCTGTGTTTGCTTGATCAGCTAGCCTCTGTTTGCTACCATTACCATGATAATTGGTGTAACTAATGTAAATGGGTTGGCGATTATGAAATGAAGGGTAATGTTAAACAAACTATGGGAAGACGATCTTACTTATCGTCATAATAAACATTTCTTCCTCGCTGCCGCCAAGTGAACACACTTAATAACAAATACATGTCACCGATACCACTTGGTTCTTCCAGCAGTGTTCAGGGCAACAGTTCTTCACTGACATCTTCAAAACTATATACTCTTCAGCCTTCGTTACAGACACCACCATTGTCTTCAACATTGATGATTTACATTTTAACTTACTAGTTTACTAAGAAGAATTACAAGTTTATTAATATTCGTTCAAGTTAAAAAATGTATCGTTGACGCATCCTGAATATTGACATTTCTAGTTTCAGAAGGACACTGACGTCCTTTGCACGCCTGCCTCACTACCCCAAGATGAGCGGTGACCTTTTCGGTGGCATGCAAAGGTCAAGGTCAGAGAAAACGTTACCTTCTAGAATTACCTCACTGTTGTCCGGCGGTGTACACGACATGAAATTAACAAGAGTTACCTGGGTGGAGGTGTCCATGACTGAGTACAGGTGGTACTCTGGCCTCACTTAACTGTGGTGGAGCCACAGCTCCTCTTATCACGTCTGGTCAAGTCATTCACCCACTGACTATCTTAATTTGTGTTTCTGTTATCGCGTGTTATCTATTGCGACAAAAATTACTCTCTCCTCCCACTCGTCCATCTGACTCACCGCACTTTCATCAATTCATTAATTATTCGGATCACCTGATGTAACCTAACTTGACCTAACCTCGCTGAAGTAGCGTTAGGGATGTTAATCTTCAGGTGAAATAAATCAGAGGAATCTTCAGGTTATTCCTCTCATTACCTTTAACTAGTCTGTTTATTACATTGTACTGCGCACATCATTGTCATTCCTAAAAAAACCCTTAATTCATGTACGCTACATAACATTCAAACCCGCGCTTGTAGAATCTCAGAAAACAGGAAACATTGATAAGGATAACTCACTACTCAATGTTACTGAATCATTTGTTGAATTGTGCAGGTACGGTTATATAATATTAATTGTATGTACTCATAGCATTAAGGAGAACTCAAAAGGTATCTATAGGTTGGTTGGGGAAGGTCAATTATTTACGGACTGATATACTATCCGGACTAAGTGTAGATCGTGGTTCGAAGGGCATACTATTTACGTCTGTGAATGTTTTAGTGAACATAACTTCCGCAGATATCAGATGAAAGAAAGCCTACATGGTAATGATCTGGAAAAAAGGATAAAGAGTATCAGGAGAACTATATGCGGAAGTGTTGGAAGTGATCCAGATGCTGTGCTTCAAAAGAGAATATCATCTTGTATACCCACGCCATGAAAAATACGACATGAGGCTTTGTTCGGGTTGGTGCCTAGAGCCGAACCATAAGAATTCAAGTGAAAAATTAAGATTGGAAACTGTAGGCCTAAACAGAAGGAGCACGAGGTCGGGACATAGTGATGCGTCGACTTCTCCCAACACAGGTGGTGCCCTTCATCATGCTTTCTTCAGCCTAAAAGGACTTATCTGGCAGTTTTTATCTTAAAACCTTGCCTGATGTTATAAAGTGAAGTCATAGTGTACTAGTGTGTGGGTGATTGAAGCCCTCAGGCATTATTCTTAGTGATGCCTCGACTTCTCCCCAACACAGGACGCGTTCTGAGCACCTCTTTGGCGTCAGCCATGACCACACTGTGAAGGCTACACCATTTTGGGGGGTCTGCTCTGGGGGTACTGCATTCCTGTGAATCTGTGGATGCCTACATATCACCACCCAGGATAGGAGAAATCATTGTATACTTGAGAAGTTTGCTGTCGCTACGTGGAGCGACCTATAATACCAGGCGTGGAACTAGTACTGGTATGATTACCTGGGAAGTATCCCATCTGCTCATCAAGAGAAATGTAATGAAAATAAAAATTGTTCTTCTGATGAAGGCCAACTCTTCTTGTAATGTAACGGGTGATGTTATACTCTAACAGGTGGTGCAGTCTGGGTGTTTGGTGTTATAAGTTAGAAGGAATGACCGGTGGTAAGGAGGTCAATGATTGTTATGAGGAATGAGTATGTTAATGACACGCAATTAATGTAAGACGTCTGTTGCTGAGCAGTGTACTTCTATTATCATAGTTGTTCTTCTGAGGAAGGCCAACTCTTCTGGTATTTTGAAGGAATGCAACATGTTTTAAAATAGATAAATTAGTTAAGACATGTTATTGTTTCACCCTTCTTCCCCTTATCGATTTGGTCAATGAAAAACCCAACCCAATACCTAGTTCCTCTGCCCGCTACCTAACGAGCTACATACTACCCAGAGGGGGTCTGGTGGCAACAACCTTTAAAATTAAGACTATAGTTAAGTTATCCCCCTTAGAATTAGTGACCCCAGAATCTGTAGTATAACAGTATTCTTATTTGCGTCTATTGATGTTCATTTTAAACTACTGTGAATCAACCGGGAGAGAAGATGCGTTTAAAAAGTAAATGATTATACTGTGAGAATGAGTTGAGGAACCCTTCACTGTGACCACTGCTTACGTGTATCAAAATCTGAATCGCTATTAAGTGTGAGCAGCGTGACGGAGCTTTGAATATGGGTTAGACACAGTGCTTTTAAGTGTACTGGAATGCTCCGTGCCGCAGTGGTGGTACTGTACAAGCAAAACCATCTGTCCTTGTTTTCTGTTGTTCTTCGCAAATTAAATTTATTCATTTGTAGTCGCAGTGATTAGAATACTGTATACTAATCATATCGCACGTACTTTATAAGGTATTTGTGTTTTTTTTTGGTGTGTACCAATAAATAAACACGCATCAACAATCGTATTGATTTAAGTCAACAAACTTTTATATGAAGACGCATTATGCAGGTACAATTGACCAAATAGTTTCACCGAGACCCAACAAGTATAGGGTTTGGGCAGAAATCTGGTAACTGTGTATAAAGTTCGCTTCCAAACGCATGATACACCTGTACCTGTCCTCCAAACGAGCCTCCCCTACCACTCATCGTCTCCCCTTACCTTTACATTATTACCAGTTGGGTTTCCCTACCTTTTCTTGTTGGATCTCTGCGAATTTATTTAGCCGATTGTCCATAGTTGTTGTATAGTAAAATAAATCCATAGCCGTATTCACGGTGCCCGAACATGCAGCCAAGTTGTGACTTCTCGTCCCTAAGGGGCTATCTTTCTTATTTTATGACGACCGAGTAACCAATCTGGGTTTTGTACCACCCTGCTCCTACTCGCACCCTCAGACTCTACCAATGCTGACGCACGTTCAGGTAAATTCAAGAGGTAGTACATGTCTAGTAATTGTCAACAGTATGCAACAAGGAAATGAATGTCCATCCGACTAGGTGGCGAAGAGGATAAAACAAAGAATTATCGCCAGGTGAATTTTATTTACCAGAGTATCAGCCAACACTAAGAAAGGACAGGGTCACATGAGATATAAATACAACTGTACGTCAAGGAACACCTGAAAGTAACCTACAATGAAGTTATGAAGTGATAAATGAAACTATATTCTCCGAATTAATTTGGTGTAATGCGTCCGGACAAGATAGTAGTAAAGATACCTAACATATTGTTTCTCCCATTACACTGTGTTATGTTATCGGCAAAGAGAAGAGTACTGTACTGCCATGGGTATTTTGGTGATTATTTTTAAAGAGACTTCAAGAGTGAGTTAGTGTATGTTTGGCGTCTGCCTGTGATGAGACAGCAGCTCCGGTACTATGATAGTTATATGCCACTCTCTTGTCAGGGAAAAACTTCCTTGGTGTTCCTACTTAGCTGAACTTGATCAACAATGCCTCTGTTATGCTCATTGTGTTTTTTTTTCATTGGTTATATAGCCTTTGGATGCTCCATGATATAATCAACTCCCATATAGTAAAACTATCACTTGCGAGGGTTCAAAGTGACTCACCATATCGACTGCTATCCTTACAAATGGGTCTTGCATCATTAAACACCTTTTCTCAACTAGGGCAAGGAAATATGTCTTCATCAAGTGAATATTAAAATTCACGAAAATAAGTATAAATATTAACTATCTCCCAAGAGATTATCAACCAGAAATACTGATCCTAAGGCCTCACTACACCCTAACAATGAGCAAGAAGTACACCCCTTTCTTACTCAGTCTTGTCAACCTCTGCTCTACAGTTTAAAGTTCTTCTCCAGGAACTTAAACACTTGTTGAGTGTATGTCTTAGAGTAATCTCTGGGTCAGCACATATTTACCCATCTTACCATCGTCGCTTTGTTGCTGTTTAGTATCCTTGTTTCTCTTCTCCATATATACACCCATAACTTTCAACTTGCGCTTCATCCCAACTTGGCTATTATAGTGTGGCACCCTAGTGAAGTGTGACACCTTGGCGGGTCAAGTGAAGTGTGACACCTTGGTGGAGTGTGGCACCCGAGTGAAGTGTGTGGCACCTTGGGTGAGTGTGGCAACTTAGTGAAGTGTGGCACCATGGTGGAGTGTGGCACCCTAGTGAAGTGTGACACCTTGGTGGAGTGTGGCACCTAATGAAGTGTGGCACCATGGTGGAGTGTGGCACCCAAGTGAAGTGTGGCACCATGGTGAGTGTGTGGCATCCTAGTGAAGTGGGCACCTTGGTGGAGTGTGGCATCCTAGTGAAGTGTGGCACCTTGGTGAGTGTGCATCCTAGTGAGTGTGGCACCTGGTGGTGGTGTGGCACCAAGAAGTGTGGCACCATGGTGGTGTGGCAACTTAGTGGTGTGGCTCCTCCTGGAACGTGGCCTTTGAAGTGTGGCACCTCACCAAGTGTGGCACTCTTAGTGTGGCACCTCAC